GAAACTGAAGAGAGACTGGTTCAGCTTTATTCCCCTTCACTTCCTCACATTCACATTCCTCCTGTTTCCAGTGTAGCTGCCCTCATGCCCAGTGAGCCAAGGATTCCATGTGGGCCCTGAATGGAGCCAGGCTCCGATGGAACTGCCATCTTAGCAGAGTGCCCTTGTGATCCCCTGTGAGAGTAGTGAGTTGTCCTAAACCCAGCCCAGAGATCAGAAGACAGTGAGTTAAGGCAGAGAGTGAGCAGCTTGGGTTCAATGATAAGAGCCCAAAGGACTGAGGATAGCTCTGTTGTCCTATGTGTGGCTACACTCCATCTAGGTTCATTCCTTTATGCTGGAGAACTATCACCAGGAAAGACACCCTCCCCTGCCTTCTCTGAATCCTCTTCGTGAGCCCCAGGTGCCCCAACCATCCTGGCCTCTGCTCTGGGTTGGAGGTTCAGTCTTCCATCACTCCAGCGGCTGCTCCTGATATCACTGATGTGACTGAGACCTGAAACATGAGGACGAGCCCTGGGTTGGTCCAATGACTGGACAGAACATTGTCTTTCTTCAAGGAGCAGCTCCTCACAGCCTGGAGATGCCCTTGAGTTATTCTATGAGTTGGGCAAACTCAGGCGTGTACAGCCCTCCTCATCCTCAGAAGGGAGCTTCATTTCCTCCCACCCACTGACTAGGTGTGCTAGTGTGTCATCAGACCAGATCAGAATTCTCCCCCAAAGGTCAACAAGGTAGCCAGCAGCTTGTGCTTAGTAAAGGCTCGGCCTCACCTCCGGACACTAGGACAAAATTCTCAAGTGTCAGCCCCTGTCATGTGCAATTCCAAGGTGTATGTGTGTCTCTGTATGTATGTGTGTCTGTGTGTCTCTCTCTGTGTGTGTGTTTGTGTGTGTGTCTGTGTGTCTGAGTGTGTCTCTGTGCGTGCCTGTGTGTATGTGTGGGGTGTGTGTGTGTGTTTGGGAAAGGAGAAAAGAGCAGAGGAAGCAGCAGCTGCTCCCCCATAGGAGCTGGAAGAGCTGGCTGATTTGAAGCCCCTCTTACCCTGCTGCTTCCAGGCTCTGCCTGTGAGTCCTGGCTCAGACCCTCCTTCATCTCCCCACCCACCTACTGTGATCCACGTATGTATCTTGCACCAGCATTTGCTAGGCTTTCCCACAAATAGCTTGGTATGACACAAAGAAGAGGTGGATTGGTGCCATGGTGCCAAGAGGGAGGGATGACAGTGGGGCTGGACCCTCCCAGTGTCAGGAGGAGGCCGCCAGTGCCCTGGCTCTGGCAGGACATCCACGAGAGATTCATGGGATAGCCTGGCATGGATGAGTTGTGGTCTTCTTCATGGGAGACTGAGATCACAGGCCTGTTAGAGCATTGTGGGACCTCAACCCCATCTGAGGTTTAAATATGGCTATTTTGTGGGAGAAGAATAAACTCATAGATCGCGATGGAGCCAGGGTACCACCACATTGATTTGAAAGGGTTCATGATTCCTCCTTGGCACCCAGGGCACATGGTTTCAAGGCCCTAGGGGATGCCATATTGGTGCCAGACGCTGCCTTGCTGAGCTGTCTAGAGCTGCCACAGGGGACATCTCAGCTCACCCTCCAACCTGCGAGGGCAGCTCTTCTTCCCAGAATGGCTCTACCCTAGTCCAAATCTTTGTGCTGAGTCCCTCACTGGGCTTTAAATTCATACTGTGACCCCAAGTCACAGGGTAAGATGAGTCAGAGCCTCACTTGTCTCTGGCCCTCTGCATAGAAATGAACCATTGTATCTGAACTGAAAAATTCTGCTCAGATGGAGATGGACCATCACTCACGGTAACCCTGAATGTTCCAAAGCCCCTCATTTCTACGAGGCTCTCCTCTGAGGAGTTCAGAAAACACCTCTAGGATGACTGTCTTCAGGCCAAGAGTCAGAAAGGTCTGGGAGGTGCCCCGTTAGGGCATTTATTAAGCTCCTGATAGAACAGCAGAAAATGCATGGGTGCTCAGTGAGCAAACAGATTCTGGCAGCTGGAAAGTGCCTTGAGGGAGACCCTGCTGGGAGGGAGATCAGGAGGCTCAGTGCTGAGAAGACTCTGATGGAAAGTTGGGGCTGGCGCATATGAGCTCAGCCTAGACTGGCAGAGATGAAATTGGCACAGCACAGAGCCTGAGTCCCATCACAGGGCAGATGGGAAGGGCTGGCTTGGAGGACTCCCTCCTATTCAGCAGCAGGGTGGAGGACATGTGGGTCTGCAGAGCAGGGAGGTACAGGAAGCCTGGCAGGAGGGGACATCACAGGCCACAGGCTTGCAGCACACGGGCACACACACAGTGGGTTTGCAGCAGACAGGCACATAGCAGGTGGTCTGGCAGGGACTAGCCTGGCAGCAGGTGGACTGGCAGGAGCTGCCTCCACAGCACGAGGGGGAGCTGCTGCCAGCTCCACAGACTGCCTCGCAGTCGGTCACCCCGGGGCACGCTGGGCGGCAGAGCAGGGCCACACAGGAGGCCGGGCGGCAGCAGAGATGGACACAGCAGACGGGCTTGCAGCAGACGGGAACAGAGCAGGCCGGCTGGCAGCCAGTGGAGCAGCTGGTGTGGCACATGGTGTCTGGAGTGGGAGGGATCTTGGGAGAGGAGCAGAGGAGGACGGATGGGTTTGGACAGCTCCTTCCTCTCTGACCAAGGCTTTTATACCCCTCCCTGGGTCTGTTTGCCTTCTTTTCTTTTCAACACCTTATTTACCTGCGGAGTTTCCTGGAATGTGCTGCTCACAGGGGAAACACGAAGCTGCTAGGCTTTGAGGCTGATTTCACTCTTCCAGGTGCCTTTCTTTGACCTTGAAACACAAGTATTTGACTGGGCTACATGTCGACTCTGCCTTGTACCTTCAGAGAGAGTGGCCACCCACCCCTACCCACCACACACATCTTGAATGTCTCCACCCTATGGGAAACGTCCTGCTGATTAGGCCAGTATTCAAAGGAGCAATAAGCAAGCCTCTACTGAGCCCAGGCTGCATCTAGGAAGGGCAGCAGCTACACTCCATCCTTTTCGGGGAGAGAGGCAGACCAAGGATTTCCAGGCTTCGCAGAATTCCCCAGCAAGGAATAACCAATGCAGGTCAGCGTCTGCTCAGCAATTTTCAGTCCTAACTTGCCCAAGGTCTCCTAGACAGGAAGGATCAGAGACAGAATTGAACCTAGGTTACGGTGAGGGTCACACAGCTAGTCGTTATCTGAGGCAAGATTCAAACCCAAGTCCTCCTGACTCCAAGGACAATGGGCCATGCCCTGTGCCACCAGCTGCCTCATCAAACCCTGCTCCTACCTTTGTGTATCAGTTAACATATGTGCACGTATTAATGCAAGAAGTCAGGCTATGATAGCTGCCAACCAGGGATGCAGACAATTGTTCTGGGAGCTCTGGGGTGAGAAGGGTCCGCTAGGGCTAAGGCGGGGCTTCTTCACCTTTGCTGGGTCTGACCACCTCCCCTCCCCCCCAGGTACTCAGTCTGACAGAGCGGGTGGGTCTGGAGCCCTTCTCACAACGCTGGCTTTGAATACTAAAATAAAATACACAGGAAACCAAGACTTAGTAAAAATCAAGGTGTTGTTTTTCCCGCCCACGTTCAGACCCCAGGAAATGTCTGGTCTGGGAGCCCAAGTTAGGAAGCCTTGGCCCGGGATGATTGGAGGCAGTTGATGCTTGTAAGCCAGCCCGGAGCCGACGTGCCCTTCAGCTTACTCCCCAGGTCCTCAATGGGGCTTGGGCAGTCCTGACGCTCGGGTGTGGGGATCGTGCCAAAGAGCAGTGGGGAGACAGGGCCTCTCCTGGGGCCCAGAGACAAGACCCATTTCCCGAGATTGCAGCTGCTGACAAAGCCAGCCTAAGGAGCTGAGACTTAAACCTACAAGGAAAGGACAGCAGGTGAAGGTCTGAATGCCCCCACAGACCCAGGACACAGAGCGAGTGGCTCTGCCTGGCCTGAGAGTTGGGATTTCATTGCTAGAGATAGGAGTGCCTGGAGAGAAAACCTTCCTGCTCTTCCCCACAGGACTGTGCCCAGTGAATAACAGCACCATGACCACATGCACAGATGGGTTAGGGTGGGGAATGGGGAGAGGCATTGCAGATGCAGCGTTGGGGGGACCCTCCTCCATTGCTCGTTCCTCACGGTGCTCTCCTTGTGTCACTGGGAGCTGGCTGTTCCCAGAGGTCGGCGCTGGCACCAACCTGAGGGAACCAAGGTTTGTCACCATCTCCTGTACCACTGGAAGCCCTGGAAAGATGCTGGGAATGGTGCCCAGGCCAGGCACAAGGTACACAAGGAGAAGCCAGTGGAGAGAGTCTGAGAGCAGGAAAGTCATCTGGATAAAGGTGCAGTGCAGGTTAGAATGCAGCCTACCTCCATGATGCTCATGGAGCCCAGCCTCTCTCGGCACTGATAGCCTGGCAGTGCAAATCACACACACACACACACACACACACACACACACACACACACAACAGGGCACACTTGGCTTGGGGATGTGACCAGCTGGCTGGGTGACTGTCTGGAAAGAGCAAAGCAGAGTCCCTAGAGAAGCAGGAGGTTGTTTCCATGGAGGGAAGGATGGAAGGTTGAGGACTGACCTCAGGTCATGATCCTGGGGAAGTCACTGTACCTTTCTGGGTCTCAGTTTCCTCATCTATAAAATGAAAGGAGAAGACTAGATGATCCCTTCTAACTCTAGGTGTGGGGTCCCATGATCCACTCCTGAGGAACCATCACAAGAGGCTAATAAGATGCTAGGAAGGAAATAAGGAAGGCATTTGCTGTGTTTGGTGTTGTAGTACACACACATCAACACACACACACATCAACACACACACACATCAACACACACACACATCAACACACACACATCAACACACACACACATCAACACATGCACACAAACACACACACTGTAGAGGGGTATAAAAGCCTTGGTCAGGGGGAAGGGGCTGTTCAAACCCATCCCTCCTCCTCTGCTCCTCTCCCAAGATCCCTCCTGCCCCACACACCATGTGCCACACCAGCTGCTCCACTGGCTGCCAGCCGGTCTGCTCTGTTCCCGTCTGCTGCAAGCCCGTCTGCTGTGTCCGTCCCTGCTGCCGCCCGGCCTCCTGTGTGGCCCTGCTCTGCCGCCCAGCGTGCCCCATGGTGACTAGCTGCCAGGCAGTCTGTGGAGCTGGCAGCAGCTCCCCCTCATGCTGTGGAGGCAGCTCCTGCCAGTCTACCTGCTGCCAAGCTGGTCCCTGCAGCCCTGCCTTCTGCGTGTCGAGCCCCTGCCAGTCTGCCTGCTGTGTGCCTGTCTGCTGCAAACCCACTGTGTGTGTGCCCGTGTGCTGCAAGCCTGTGGCCTGTGGTGTCCCCTCCTGCCAGGCCTCCTGTTACCAGCCAGCCTCTTGCACCTCCCTGACCTGTGGACCCTCCTGCACCCCCTCCTGCTGCTGAGCACGACTCTTTGAAGGATCACTGCAGGCACAGCTTAGCTGTTCGCTAGAGCAGGTCTCTCCTGGTGCCATCCCATGCCAAGGTGAGAAGAAGTGAAGTTTCCCCACAAAGAGACTCCCTGAAACTTCCAGCTGAATTAACAGAGTCTGTGTCAGGGAAGGACCTTAGAATTTGCATTTTTAGAACTGAACTGGCTTCGACTCACTGGGTGACCCTTTGGGTCCCGCCACCT